TTGTTTACAATGGACCATAAATTTCGTACTGAAAGGGACTTGGAAGTTAATTTATGCTCATCTACATACGAAAATGGTGAAAATATACATGAAATAGAATTCTTTTATGAAAATAAAGCTCGTTATCCACAAAAACCATGCGATTGCGAAATTCAAACTTTGATAAAAATTTAGGAAATTTCGATGCATTTCGACCAAATTGCATCCAACTTTCAAACTTTGTAATGCCTATTCAATTTTATTGTAATAAAATGCAAGTTTGAGGTAGCCACAAAGAACCGTTAATTTTTGGTAGTTTTTTTGTTTGACGGTGTTACACATTTTTTCATACAAAATATGTTCGAAAATTTTTTTATATGAAAAAAATAAGCAAAGCGTTCAAGAAAACAATGTTCTAAGTTATAGTTACTCTAAACATGCACTTAATCAAACTAAAATGGAACGGGTTAGAAATTCGAGAAAAGCTCGAAATTTTTATGATTTCTGTACAAAGTTTAAAATTTGGACTTACATACATGGTGTTTGTTAGATGATGAGCTATACTTAAATAAAAAAAAAAAAACATTAAAAAATGAAAAGAAAAATAGCCAAAATTTGCTAAAATATCATTAGTAATCTTTAAAATATTACCGTTTTTTGTTCTCAAAGAGCAGAGAGCAGCCGATAGTGTTTTATTTTTATTTTTTTTTAAAGAAATCTTACGTAATTCTAAAAAATCCCGTAAAAAAGAAAAGGCAAAGGTTCCCGTAAATTTTGGAAAAATCCCTTAAAAGTCTCGAAATATCTTTTAAAAGGCAAAGAAAATATTCGAAGAAAAGTCTCAAAAAATCCTTAGACGATCTCAAAATTCCCGAAAAATCACGAAGCATTTCAGATATATTTTGATGCCTACATAATAAAAAACAAACAAACATTAAACCGAAGATATCTAAAAAAAAGTATATTTTTCGTTTTTGCCTTAAATCATATTCCACGAAGAGCGAGAGAGACTTCTATCGCCATTTTCGAAAAACGGAACGACAATTTTTCTGCTGAAAACTGACCTCTGTTTTAACACATTCACATTACATGAAAAGACCAGTTGGATTCTCTTTGATGTCTGAAGAAGATTCTATAGAGCATTAGGCGTTTGTTATGGCGAGTAAGAGAGATGATGGAACAATGAGCTGTAAGTTCAACCACGATATACACATAGACATAATACAGGGAACTTAGATTGGGAATAAAATAGATGAACTCTTCGTTGAAAGATGAGTCGCGATTTACAGGGTGTCGTGACACGAAGGAATAGAGGGAAAGCGCTAAAACCGAGGTAGACTTACCACCAGGAAACTCTTCAAAGATCACTTCTCCCTCAATTGTCCAAGGACAGAATTCGGGATTGCCAAAGTCTTGCTACGCTCTAACAGCGCAAAACCCAACAATTATCTTCTAATTTTTTCAACGAAACTTGTTTGGGGTACTAACGAGTCACGGTCCCATACCATCTCACGAGCTCAAGTTTGTACTAACAAAGAATGAAAGATGCATGGCACATGACTAAAAGCGCAGTTAGTCAACGGCGACGTTAAACCGGAGAACGTTTCAGCTGACACGGTCTACCGTATGTAATTTAAGTGTTAACGAAACTCACCACAGCATGAAGGTGACGTCTTCGCTGCTCTCTCACTTTCTTTCAAGAGCAAATTTGATATATTTTTCTCTGTCCGTCAACCTTTGTTTACGCTACGTCGCTGAATACCAGTGCTATAAGCTTAATTCAAAGGCTTTCTGGAACACCTCCTATGGCAGTATTAAACTTTCGGATGATTACGACTAAGAGTGCTTAGGAACGTATAAAATTTGTTGTTGATAGAGAGAGAGAGAGGAAAGCAACGCCAACGTCCCGGTCATGCGGTGCTGAGTTTTCGATTACACGCAGATGCCATACGCTAGTAGATCGTGTCAGCTGCGCTTCTAGTTAAATTAGCTCCTCCTCACTGTATGACACATCGACTGCTTTATCGATATTGGAGTTAATGTTAACCAGAGATGATGAAATGTACGCTCCCACGAAAGTCGGGCCTACGTAACCGGAACGACCCAGATTTATATCTGGCCAAGGACTGTCACTCCAGCAACACTCCCCAAAAAACTCTTTTAGAGAATTTGTATGCTGTTACAACAATAACAACCCTTACTCTTTCCGAAATCATTGAAAATCAGTACGCATTAGAAATAGTTACCGTTTTATTTTTAGTATTCGTTGAGAATAAATAGGAACTTTCTGTAAAGAATATTAAACTTATACTCGTAGTTAGGAATGTTTTCGCCGAAAAAAATCTTAGCCAAAATACTTATACTACTCTACTCCACAAAAAAAAACTCTTGCGCTATTCATTTATTTTCACTTCTTCATTATTTACTTTGTTCGAAGCTTCCGTGATTGACTGACTTTAACTGCTGAGTTTGCTGAGACGTGTGCTAATCGCAATGTTGTATGCATGTAGTATTATATGTATGTATGGTGAATAGGGTGGTCCGAAATAAGTCGGATTTTTAATGCTCTTACCTCCTAGAATTGTTCTATATCGAAAAAAATAACACTGTTTTTTTTTATCAAAAAATTTTTAGAGGTCGCTTAAAGTCCTCAAAGTTTTCCATGCACTTTATATGGTAAAAAAAAGCAATTTTTCTTAGAAATGATATAGAATTCTTGAAAATCACCGAGGGACGACCCCAATTTAAAATTATTTATTGATGTTGGTCGAAAACTGCGCTTGAACCCAGGCCCTGCGGAATGGTAGCGCACCACTAGAGCACAGCGGCCGCCCAAAAAATGCAATGGGCGGACCCATCAAAAATCGCTTGTATTGAAAAATGGCAAAATAAGCAATTGGGTATTGAGTTCTCCGATCGTGGAAATAATGAAAACTTTGAGCGCTATGAGCGACCTCTAAATATTTTTTCGATTTCGAAATAACAAAACAGTGGTATATTTTCTCGATTTAGTATAATCCTAGGGGGCATTAAAATTCCGTCTTCACTTTTTCCACATGCATTTTTGTACCACCCTTATGCCCAAACATATGCAAATATGCATGTATGCGGAATCTGCCAGGACCCAGACCCTGTGCTCGCTCTTAAAAGTTGAAAGCACTCGTTGCACCTCTACTAAGAAGGTCCACATACTTAAATATTCGTACGAGTATCTGCAAGACAAACACACATTATTGCCGTCGAGAATGCATTTGCTAACTGCATTCGTATTTACACGTATTTAAGTTTGGTCTGCTGCACGTATTCGTGTTCGCGTGTATGTTTGCTTGCGCTCATGGGCACGTTTGCAACGTGCTTCAGTGATAATAATTTTTATGAATAATTTAAAGAAGGTATTGATTATTTAAAAAAAATGTATTTTTGAGGCGACGACAAACCGGTTAGGTACTTTTGGATAAAGGATATACATGCATTCTTTTCCACAATTATATAGAATTGGAATAGGGTTTCAATGTAGATATGTATATCTTCACATGATAATGCCCCATTCTTAATCAAAAATATACTTTTAAGCAGGGAATGAAAAATTTGGTCGGTTCGGTTCAGCCGTAAAAAATTGCAAAAAGTGGGTTACGTTAATTCCGGATTAATGGCTCAGTGGCCCAGTAATACGGATTAAACGAGCCGCGACTTCCTGGTTTCGAGTCCCACAACCAGCAAAATTTGTATTTCGTTTTTGTTAGTTTATACAATTATTGCTTTTATTTTGTTGTTGACTTTTCTAATAAAATTAAACTCTAAAAATTTTAATTAAGTTATAATAAAATATATAAATAATAATGTGAAATAAGATAAAATAAAATATAATAAAGTAAAGTTAAATAACATAGTTAAAAAAAACTCAAAATAACAAGTAGAGAAGTATAAGTTCGGGCGAAACCGAACTTTATAGACCCGGCGCAGGTATCAAATATCGTCGTTTAAACTTTCTCCTAAACTAACTTTGCATGATAAGCAGGGGTGTTTTTCCCCATTCGTGTACACGGACGGATGGACGGACAGACAGTCATGGCTTAATCGACTTCTCTATTTATTTTGAGCTTTTATGTATACATTTGTCTATATCTATCTCGATTTGTTTTAGCTGTTACAAACAAACGTTATGTGAACAAAGTTAATATACCCTTTTGCGCAAGTGCACTCGAGTATAAAAATGTTCGATAATTCGCTCGGATCGGTGATCTAATCTGAATCCTACCGAATTGTAGTACATAGCTATCACCATTTGGCTACTGCGTTTGCCAACCATTCCTCTTTTGTTGTTTACTTTTTAGTTTGCTTCGTTTAATAATGTCACAATAGACAACAGCTCGCCCTTTTGGTCAGTGTTGTCATCGAAAATATTCCTGATTCGCATTAATTTAAGTTTTAACACCAGGATTTAATCCGGATCAACTGCTGTTAATTCCCGAGAATATACCGATTTAACGAGTTGATCCAGATCAACGCTGCCGTCTGTCAACTCTGGACGTAATGACTAGATTCTAAATAAAAAAATCTTCAGTCCCTTTTTTTCCTTCACAAATCGGAGAAGAAGCTCAACCAAATACTAACAGATTTGAGGTATTTTCGAAGCCATGCAAAACCCTTTGCAAACCATGCACCATGAAAGGGCTTTACAAGACTTCGAGAATACCCCTTGTCGCGACGCAGTATGGAAAGGAAGCTAGAAATTTAAACTATTTATCTTAATCGATTGACAATGAATTTATTACAAAACGTTTATTTCTCAGTTTGCGCTCCCTATGCTTGCGCCGCTAAAGAAAATTGTAGAATATGTTCCCGTTTCTAGAGATGAGCCAATTTATAGATTTATAGTAACGAAATAACGGCTCCAACGAACAACGGCGAGAGTAAAACGGCAAAGCATAGAGTTGCAAACATATAGAGTTAACAGCTAACAAATATTTCCTAAATCTATTACATAAAATGATGAAATATAAAGAAAGAAACATAAACTTTTAATTTGCAACACCCCCACCCCCGTGAATCGAATCAGATTCACCATTAACCAGATCCAGAACCGCCAACTTGGATACTGGCCGATAAGTTAGACCAGTTATCGTAGTCACCTCTGCTCGACGAATCTCGCCGTCCTTTCCCGGAAATACTCGCAATACTCGGCCACGTCGCCATTCTCTTCTTGGTAATTTAGGATCACAGATAAACACCAAATCGCCAATCCCCAAAGGCTTCGTTGGCATGCACCACTTCGTACGTCGCGTTAGTGTAGGTAGATATTCGTCAACCCATCTTTTCCAAAATCGATCTCGAAGTTGTCTAGCTATTCGCCACTGCTTGCGGATGGCACAAAGTTTCACGGGTGGTTCCGAGCAACTCGTTGTCTGAGCAGTGTTGGCACAACCAAGCAAGAAATGATTTGGCGTCAGCGGTTCTTCTTGCTGTGGCGTGATAGGTAAGTGTGTTAGCGGACGCGAGTTCACAATGTTTTCTGCTTCGATGAGCAAACTTTGGAATGTATGCTCCTTCGGTGCAAGATCTTTCAATGTATGCCGCAAGACTTTCTTGACGCATTGTACCATTCGCTCCCAGACTCCGCCTTCTGATGGGTTTTCCGGGCAATTAAAGACCCATTCTACCCCTTTAGTGGACAATTCCGCTTGCAACGCCTGGCAGTCAAACACATCTACAAAGCGCGCAACTTCGCCTGCTACTCCCACGAAGTTCTTACCATTGTCCGTACGAATTCTTTTTGGGACCCCTCTGCGATTCATAAAATTACGCATAGCTAAAATGCAAGCGTCTGTTGAAAGGTCATATGCGACTTCGAGGTGAATGGCACGTATTGACAGGCACGTGAACAGTGCCACCCACCGCTTCTCGGTTCGACGTCCGATCGTTATACTAACAGGGCCAAAATAATCCAAGCCCGTAAACGTGAAGGGTCGAACGTAGGGTGTCGTCCGGTCTTCAGGCAATAAACCCAT